TTGAAATAGGTTATACCATTTGAAAGTTCGTGAAAAGATACGCTGAAGCCCAAATTTTTAGCTCATTCTGGAAACTCTATCAAAAGATATGAAGGGATCTATGAATTCATCTAAAGTACAAATTCATAAATATTCTCAAATTTTGATGAGTTTTAGAGAATCTTATTAACACTATAATATAAATGCACCACGATGGAACAATATTCTCAAATTTAAATTGTATCTAAAACTTTCTAATCTTTTTTTTGAACTCAAAAATTAATAAAAATAATCGTTTTTGTTGTAAATTTTTGCTCTCAAAGTGTACCAGAGCAATTTCCTCTTGAAAATCTTTTAGCATTAGGAGAAAGTCTGCTAAAAATTGTATATTTATACATATTACTCAACAAGATAAAGTTTAGGGAAGTTATTTAATTTTTGAGTGCAAAGAAGATCACGGCCATGCGAAGTAATTTGACATAGATGGAAAAGAACAATTATTGTTTAGTTTAACTTTTTGAATTGTAGGATTATGTAACATTATTTTTTAAAATACTGTGTATATTGTAATTTTACTACTGCTACTATTGATAATAATTTAAGTCTCTTGTAATTATAAATAAACTTTTATTCATATTATAATCTCGAGAGTTCGATTTTTTTTGGCACTCCGTACTATGTTATAGAGGTGTCAGTTATCCCGAAGCCTTTGGTCGCTGGAATTCCACTGAATGCAAGGTTTTTTCGATACCATTAATTTTAGGTACCTGTCATTTCGGTTTTATCTAATTGAACAGTTGTTCCGATATGACTGAAAAACCAGATTGCTTACTGAAATTCAGTCTTCGTACTCCCTCTTGTTAACAACGAGTTTTTGCTGAGAACTCCATTATTGTAGCTGGGTACAAGAAAAGTTCCAGTTTAACACTAAAATTTACATCGCTGACGACAACTTAGCGTCAGAGTATTTTAATTCTTGTGAATAACCTTTTTGCCGTAGTTGAATACACTTTTGTTTCTAATTTTGTCTTGATTATCTTGCGAAGAAGTTATTCTGAGAAGAGACAGAAATTCTATAAAAGCACGTTTTCTAATGTCGCAGTATAGTTCATCATGAATTGATAAAGAGACGTCGATAGTGAGTAAAGAAAGTAAGTGCTGATTTTTCATTTCATCTTCACAACTGATTTTTCTCTGTAAATAATTCGGCAGTATTGGGTATTACTGTAAGTTCTGATGGAGATACAATGGCTTGTTGATGCTTTCAAAAAACTGTTTTATTTTTGATATTTTATGCAGTTACTGTGACGATCTTGAATAAATTCTGTGATAAGCTTACTGTTACGTACTACTTAAGAATTGTTGAATCCTAATGAGTATCTCGGTCAACTAACTTAGTACTTTTTATTGATCGGTTTTGTGAATTAACTTCTTAAATAAGAGTTGAATAAAGATTTTGAACATCATCTTCCTTTCGTTATTCTTCCACTGAATATGTTCATTCGTCCTTGACTCAAAGGCAAATATCTGTCAATCTGCAATGTTTTATTAATTTAAAATTCGTTCAATCGCTTTCTCTTAAGAACTTTGTCGTTTTCGTTGAGAAGCACATGTATCATTGCAATGGCATTTCTTAAGATGTAGGACGTCTTTCATGTTAAAGAGAATTGTGAATGAACCCTGTTGGACTGGTAGCAAACTCGCTTGGATAGAGATTAGAAAGAGAATTTCGATTCATACAAAATTTTTTCAAAATTTTATTGTTTGTAATTACCTTTGAAAGTTGATTTTTTTCCTGCTTTGGTTGTTGAGGATGACAATCAATTGTTTGCATACATTAAAGCTCATCAAATTAGTTTCTGAACTATATGTGGTGAAATTCACGTAGAGTTTATGGAGGATTAAGGTCTGAAAATATTTTATAAAACGGATCCGGATCAAAGTATTCTGAATCTGATGGATTGCAACTGTCAATATGCAACTCTATTCCTCACGCACGTGCATGTTTGGAACACTGCAGCATCCTTTCTTAGTAAGAAAGAAATCCTCCTTTTTCCTCCTTTTTTAAGAGTAATCCTCCCAAAGACTCGGGTCATAAATCCTCCTGATTCCTCCTTTTCTTCATATGGCCGCTAACATACCAAAACGTGTTCACATAATTGTTGATCTTGAGGGTGTGACTTATAAAATGACAAAGAAAAAGTCATTTGTGATGAATAAACCATACGTATTCTTTAATGTTGTTTGAAATTCATTGATGAAAATAACATGATGAGAACGATACAAAAAGAAAGATCTTGAATTCTATAAAAAGGATTCAAATCGTACAAAACTAATGAAAGTAATGAAGAAATCTTAGTTTTCGAAAATAATCATCATAATGCAATGAAAATGATGTCAAAGAAAAGAATGAAATTTCCTACATGTAAATTCAAACAATAACCATTGAAATGAATTGTTTTTGTTTTCTTTTTTTTTTTAGTCACTGAGTTACGGCTGTGAATGTGATGTAAATAGAATAAGTACAAATTCATCGTCGACTGACGATAAATTGATCGTCGATGATTATCTATTAATGATTAACATTGAGTGATAGTTCATGTTTTTCAAATATCCTATATAAGGAATGATTTTCTTGTATAAAATCATTCAATTCAATCGATCTATTGTATCAACAATAGATTGAATAAGTATTCTCATAAATCTTATTTTTTTTTAGGAGGTGCAAGATACAATTAGGTACATAA